TTTGGTTCTACATCAAAACCAAATTTCTTTTTCTTAAGATCTTACAATTAAATTACAGCTTTGTCCATAAATCTAAAACACCATCAATTTGTTACATTTTCTTGGAAAAGAGGGTAAAGCCAAAGTAAAGCTAATGATAAATAAAATTGTTATAAAAATAAATATTATTTTTTAATATTGTTTCTAGTTTATTTTTTCAATAATTAGTTTCAATTTGTTTTTTTCGTTAAATGTACACTATTGGATATTAAAACATAATGAAAATTCAATCCTCTGAGTTAAAAAAAAGAATATTTTGTTATTCTTAACTTCCATGTGAAAAGTACCTATTAAAATATTAACCAATCCATTTCTGCGGTTAATTTTAAAATAAACAACGTCGATTTTAAAGTTTGCATTTATTGTTTGTAAATATAAATAAATTAAATTTGAGTTAAATTTGATATAGTTTCTTGAATTAAATTCAACTTTATCATTTTAGTTAAATTAACGACATATTGATTAGATGACCTACAGAAATGATTAAAAATAAATCAATTTGAGTATAATTATAATTTGACATTATAAATTTAACAATGTAGAATATTTACACTAATTTGTGCGGATGTTTTAAACTTATAGCAAAGAATTTCAAAAAATTTCACACTTACAATTAGCTCGAGAGTCAACTGCAAAATATTGAGAGGTCACCGCTCCGTGTGTCATAAAAACGGCTTCTCGGGGATATTTTCTTAAGGACAGAATCAGCATCTTGGATTATAATGCAAGGAAGAAACGACAGGACAATCTCGAAGACAATTTTTAGTCTTCGAAGATTTTTCGAGGTGCGATGTTCTTCTAGTAAGAATCGTAAATAATGAATAATTGAGACGATCGCGACGAGGTGAGATGATAGCGAACAAGGTGGTCTAGCTGTAAGATAGCCGAGCAAGGAGTGAACGACTTGTCCTCATGTGGCGAGCCCATGGAAGCATGTTGTTAATAAGTGACGCGTGTGTGGCAGCTGGTCTTACATTTTTTTGCTCCGCATCCGATTCTTAGGGGCTCGAGCGACGAAAGATCATCTCGAGCGCGCTTCTCCCTCTTCCATTCTTTCCCTTCATTTCCATTTTGCTTCTTGTCCTTCTCTGTTGTGTTCTCCTCCTCCATTTCCCTCTCGTACGAGCTGTCTTAGATACTTTTTCAAACAATTTTCGATGATGAATCATGTATACCAATTTAACACTAGCAACGCATGGTCGAAAATAAATTAGTGTCGACCGTTTATTTTAATTCTATCATAATTGATATTCGCGGGTTTAAACTTAAATATTTCAATAACGTGTCAAAAGTTATGAAATATTGTTTATAAATATTGTTTATGATAAATATTTTTCAATTTTACATCATTTTAAGTTATAATTTTATTTCTCTTTCAATATTTAAAATGAAAAAAAATCATCGTTTAATTACGTTAATTTTAAAGTAAAGATATATTAATTTGAAATGTTTCAGTGCATCTCTATTGGATGCACTGAACTTTTGTTGCACTGGAATTTGTAGTTTTTTTCTATAAATAAAAATTACTAAATTTACAGAAATTTAAAAGACATAGTGAAAGTAGAAACATTAAATTTAAAAATTTTTTTTAAATTTCATTTTTAATAAAGTTTATTTCATTTTTAATAAAGTTACAGTTTGAATTTAAAGTTCGTAGTTACGAATTTTTATTTCAACTCAATATATTAGATAACAATATAAATAATGAATAGTGAGATTATCGTCCAGAGCGCCACTATTCAAATATAAATCCAATATAAAATATAAAATGATAGATAAACAAAATAAAAGAAATCATTGTAGTAAGTGGTCGGTAGTTAGTAATACATGTTAAAAAACAAAAAATTGGAGCAGGTGATAGATATGATTGTAACGGTGAGAGATAACAATAGACAATGGCCATCTTCACGTTAAACAACGTGAGATCACAAATAGAATTCTAATTAAATAAATCGCCAAAAATGCTAACAGTAATCAATTGTGAAAAGCAATAATTTTACTCTGTATAATAATACGCATATTTTTGTTAAAATATATTAGACATTTAGTATGATATAAAATAGAACCAAATTATTATCAAACCTGTAGCTAATTAAATTTTTAGATACTTCAGCAAAACTATTCGTTCTATGTAAAACTAAGAAAATAAACTTAAAATTATGAACGTATACACAAGCTTCTATTTATGGAGATACGGAATAAATGTATATCATTTTTTTATGTTGTGAATAAACATTTATATATGTTTATGCATAATTTAGGCTGAGTTCCATTCTTCTATTAATAAACTTAGTGCTCACTCTCTTACTCTTTTACTCTCTTATTCTTTTACTATTTTATTTAATATACATTAAATGAATTATCATTATGTAGTTTAACCAAAAACGAAACACAATATTTAAAGTATAAAAGATACATTTATAACCGACTCTTACATGCTCTTTTCTGTTATATTTTTAATTTGACATCAAGACTCCTTACATTGATTAAATTATAAAAAATACAGCCTTTTTAGTGTTTAAAATATAAAATAAAAATCGCGCGATGTGAATTCTTGAGAAGGATCGCAATTACAATTTTGTAAATCACATCTCTAGTTACAGGCGAAATCATGAATGATTCGCGCGTGGAAAGATCGTCGCTGTGAGATCGACGAACGCGCGTATTTACGCGCCTCGCAGATGTTCGGTCGCCACCCTTGAGAGGTCCCTCGAGGCGAAGAGGGAAAGCCGCGTACCCCTGCGACAAGTGTAGCGGCGGTTGCGGCTGTATACCGCGACAGGGCACGGGAGGGAGATCGGCTATGCGATGCAGCATCATGCGGCCACGCGAGTGGGCGGCGCGATGTTCCCTTCTCGCACTCTCCGTTTTCCAAGAAGAGGAGCCTGGAACACGATCTCGAAGGGCTATACACTTCATTAGAGGAGGAGGAAAAGGAGGAGGTGGAGGATAGAAGATCCCTTGATCCTCTTTCAGTTCTTCGAGAGATTTCCTCCGACGGAGGAAAGAATTGTCGTCGAAGCTGATAGTCTTCGACGAGACGTGTTAACGGGTGTTGCGAAAGCACCAAAGCATCCTGATATCCCGCTTTATCAGTTCCGCGAGAAGAAACCGGTGTTGTTCTTGTTTTTTGCGATCATTATCGAGCGCGTGCCACGCGAGGAAGACAGATAAACATATAGAGAAGGAGGGAGATTGGGAGAGAAAGAGAGAGAGAGAGAGAGAGAGAGAGAGAGAGAGAGAGAGAGAAAGAGAGAGAGAGAGAGAAAAAGAGAGCGGAAAAGACCGGCGATAAGCGGCCCGTCGATCATCGTGTACATGTTGATACGTTGATATCGAAGTAAGCCGCTTCTCTGACATTATTCTTAAAATTTAACGCTATCTCCGACTCCTGTAGACTCCCGGAGGAAAGTGAAGCACAATCGGTCGTCTTCCTGTTCGCGCAGCGAAGTTTAACGCGTGCGATTTAATGCGTAGGATTAAATAGTGGTTAAAATTTGGCAGCGATTATGACATGTTTTTTAATGGGAGGAAAGATGTCTCGTTGATAGATGTCGTGCTTCTATACGATCGCGCCTCATTTCCCTCTGATGATATTTCCTATCGGATAGAAGGTGGTCCACCTCGGAGAGGGTTGATTTTCTAAAGATCGCGATTGAGACAGGCAGGTGAAATATTATTTCTATCTTGCGATTGACCGAAAGTAAATCGAGTAAGATCTGGTAAGCCCCATTTCTACTAATATAATTTTAATCTCCGTTTAATTTGCTCCTTATCTTTCTAATCTTAGAGTTAGGAGTACGTCAAAGTCACATTATGTACTACTTTGAAACATTTGATTGTCCAATTAAAAAAAAGAATTTTAAATTGATTAATTAAAGAATCATTAATTAAAGAATCAGCTAAAGTATCATCAACGTACGTTAACTGTAGCCGGCATACTAGAAGAAGATAAAAAATAATTTAAATCGAGATCAAAATTAATCTAAAATGATAAAAATGGATAAGTAATTTTCGGTCATGATCATGAGACGTGTTTTTCGTATTGATAGAGACGATCGCAATTGTGATTTTAGATCTGCGGCATAATGTACATAATTAATGTATATTCTATAGAAAAGTTGTAAGCTATAAGCTATAAAAAATTGACCATCGAATATGAAAAAAATAATCGACTGTGATTGGTCAATTTTTTACGGCTTTACGGTTTACGACTCTTAAAGTAAGGTTGTCGATCTAGACTTCTGAAAATAAAATCTATTTAACTAAAATAGATTTTATCTGCGCGCAAAGGTTTTTTCTCAGATTTTTCACCATATAAATAAGTGAATTTATAGAAATTTAATACTGCAAAGTAATGATTCATTCATTTATTTTGAGTATTAAAAGCTCACTTACTCAATGCTCTTTTAATCTTAAACTAATAAAAATAATTACCCAATCGACACCAATTGAAAGTAAGATGACCTCAATGTTATATAATTCCGCAATTCAACTAGATAAATGTAATATATTGTTGAGTGTGAAATTGTAATATTGAAGGCAACTCATTTTCAATTGGTGTCGATTGGATAATTATTAGTTTGAGATTAACATTGATGTTATGTCACTTCTAGTTTGTGTTGACTGGATAATTATTCTTTTAGTATTGAATTCTTTTTCTCTTCTTTTTCTTACATTAGGCTTGTGTTACACCTTTCTCATATGCTTGTGGTACGCACATTGATTATTCAATTGCCACAAACCTATGGGACCTACAGTTTCAATACCGATTTCCAGCGGATTTTTCGAGAGGTGTTTCTGTAAGCAAGGATACTCTCGAGAGGTTGCCGAGTTTTTCCGAGAGGAGACACGAGCATAAATATTTTGATCTCTATTAGGCTATGTTCAGATTCTCATCTGAGTATCACCCAGGTATCATTCTGTTGTTTACCGAACAAACAAGGATGACATGACATCTGGAGAAACATCCAAGTGGGAATCTGGAACACGTCTTTGTGGGATCAAATCCAGGACTTCTGGCATGATAGAACAATGCGCTGTTTACCTCGTTCGCGCTCCAGATATTGAATTCAATTTCTATTAAGTACGTTTAATTATCCGACACTATTAAATCACAACAATAAACAAAAGCGGGATATACGTTTCCCGCTTTAATCAATTTCTCACTATTAAATCACGGGTCTATCGCGAATTATATAAACGCGCGCATGGTTGATTATTAAGTTAAATTGTGATGCGCAAAAAGAGCCGCGTGACTTCGCGAGTCGGCTTCGCAAAAACGAGTTGGATGAATCTTTAGTAAGATCCAAGTTGAGAATTTTCACGAGAAGACAACCGAATAATGGGAAACGCTGATGTAAAAACTCGACTCGGAATCGCTCGACAATTCGCCAACATAGCGAATATTGTAGTAAATTTGCTCCATTATCATCGTTCTCGGAGACTTAGGCCGCGTTATCTCGCGTTTTACGCAGAGACGAGCCTTGCGATAATGGTCGGTCGGGCGCAAAGTGCACGGTCGGATAAGGCGTTGAAAAGTGGTTCTCGTGACTTTCTTAATTCACGCCGTGCATCGGACGACGTTACAAAATCCGGCAGTTTCGCAATTCCATCGTGCTGCAATTCACTAACGCCACATATCGCTATGATTGACGGCAGGCTGCCGGTGGCGACGAGCTCGGATCGACGAGGACGACGACGACGACGACGACGGAGGAAGAAGAGGAGGAGGCGGAGGAGATGCACCTCGAGGATTATCACGGCGAGCGGAGCGAGGAGGACGACGTGCGACGCCCCGTTCTGGAACAAGATGACTTCGTCGACGACAGTTCCCTGCCCGATCTGATGTCCATGGCGATGACCGGCATAGGCATTGACGTCGTCCAACCGTACTGTTGGACGACCTCGCAAATGACGGACAACAGCGTGTTCTTCTCCCCGTTGGAAATCAGCACGGATCCGAGGGATTATCTCGACTGGGATCAGGTACCCGTTGTCTTTCAGTATCCTTCCAACGGCGATGGATCGCCGGCTGATAGCACCTGCAGCGAGGCGATTACACCGACTTGGAGCAATGCGATGACAGCGACGACGACGATGACGACGACGACGACGACGACGATGACGACAATGACGACGACGACGACGACAACAACGACGACGACGACGACGACGACGACGACGACGACGATGACAACGATGACGACGGCGACAGATCATGGTGAGGATAAGTCATCAGACTGCCGGAAGTTACCATCGATGGGCTCAGCCTTCTCCTTCTCGCGCACCTTCAACAACACGATTTTTCCGGAATACGGAGCAGAATCACAGGACGATTATCAGGATTATCCCGATTGCCAAGAGGACATGGTGTCGCTGTTGATGAGCATTCAAAATGATGTCACGGTTCAGAACTTCAGTCCCTCGATCGCCGACGAATTTGACCTCAGTCTGATCAGAGGTGACCCAACATCGTTGTTAAGCAATGTGGACTCACCATCGTCATCATCGATGACTTGTCTCGCGAGCGATGAACAGCAGGAACCATTTCAGAGCTTTAATCCGCCGTATTACGCGGTTGGACATCTCGTTTCTTCGCAGCAACAATCGACGACGATCAATCTCGATGGTGAACTCGTTGGAGCGATGGACAATTTCGGCAATCAAGTGATTCTGCCGCGGAACGAGGGCCTGCTGCTCGGGAATAATCGACGGGTCACCAGATCGAAGATTGCTGAGACCGAGAAAAATGACAAATCTTATGGTAAGTACGCAGTGCATTGTCTTTATTTACTTTAGAGAAATTTAGTCTTTTATCTCGTTTCGTCAGGATTTATTTGTGATTTTTATTAAATTAATAAAGGCATTAAAACGAAAAAAATCGTATATAAATTCTTATTTCTATATGGAAAGATGATTTGATGAATCTAAAAATTCAGTTACTCTCTAACATCTTTGGAGTGGAATCTAACTTGAAAGAGAGAAAGCTCATTTTTAAAAGCTCAATTGTCATTCTTTGACATTCTTTAGAATTAGATTCTATTCTAAAAATTTTTTAGAAAATATGTATATATGGATGTGAAAATAATTTTATGTTGGACAATCGAAATAATTGTGTCTAGAATAGTTGTTAGTTAAAACTTGTTGCAGTTGCTTATCAGGTTCAAGTTTCGTACATAATTATTTCGATGATTCAACAAATTATTTTTGGGTCTGTATCCATCTAAATTTTTAGATATTTTAACAAAATATTTTTCCGTGCGTGTTCCAAATATTTCCGTCATCCTTGCAAAATTAATAACTTTTCAGATAAAGTTCAAAATCGGAGCATCCTTAAGTAGAACACATAAGTCACAATAACATCATAAGAACGTCATCATAATTTTATTTATCACTTATGTAAGTTTTTTTTTTAATTGACAAATAATGTCATGATGATGTCTTATGATCATTACAACTTAATTATGATTCTACTCGAGTAAGACCCAAGCAAAACAACACGTTATGATATCAAAATGATGTTAAAAGATAACTTCAAAATGATTATTAAAAGTCATCATGATTATTAAAAGTCATTTTTCAATCATTTCCGATTCATTTTAATATATCATTTTGACATTATCATGACTTGTTGTTCTGCTTGGGGATGTCTTAAAGAGAATTTTGAAGAGACTCATCTTATGTCCCAATTTTAGACTTTATGTTGTCTAAGCTTCCAATATTTTTAGATTCATTAGACTTGCCGTAATGCAACGATCCGAATACATGTGGCAATTCTTTGGGCATACGCAATTTCTGCTCCAGTTGCGCGTGTTTATGTTTCGCGTGCATACGTCACATTACAGATTGCGCGAGACCAGTGGATGATAGCCTCACGTTGGCTTATCAATGCCGCTGGATCGACTGCGGCTGTGCATTTACGGAGCAAGAGGGCCTGGTGCGACATATCGAGAGGCGACACGTGGAGTCGTCCTCAACGAATGCGCATGGCCACGGTAGACGGATCCAACGGGACCGGGATAAAGAGCGAGATGGCAAGGAGGCGAGAGAGGGTTTCTCTGGAACGGCCACGATGACGGGCCGCGAAGACGAGTTCGCTTGTCTGTGGCAAGGATGTCCACGCGCTCGACCGTTCAACGCGAGATATAAATTGCTAATTCATATGCGGGTACATACGCAAGAGAAGCCGAATAAATGTCCGGTTAGTGTCCTCGTATCTTTTTCACGATTTTAAATTTTAGTGATTTTTATGATCTAACATCTATCATTATTTTGGAGAACTTCATATTTTAAATTTATGAAGATTTTTAAAAGAATACTTTAAATTTTATAAAGTCATAAAGTTTTTTTAAAATTTATAAAATGAAAAATCTTAAAAATCTTAGAATATGATATTTCTAAGTTTATATGAAGAATTTTAAAAATATATAATAGACTTTTTCATTTTTGAAAAATTTAATTCGTATAAAAAATCTGAAAATTTAATTCGTATAAAAAATCTGAAAATTTTTCTAAAAAATTACGAAATTATACAGAAATTCTTAAATTTGTATAAAAATTCTAAAAAATTATGTAAATATTAATTGTTTTCCATTATCAAAAACTTAATTTTTTTATCGTTTTTCAACAAAGCATTAATTTTTTACTATTGCTTCTTGTTTCAGTTTGTTGGCTGCAAGAAGGCCTTCAGTCGTTTGGAAAATTTAAAGATCCACCAGAGATCGCACACAGGCGAAAGGCCTTACGCGTGTCAACACAATGGATGCTCAAAAGCATTTAGCAACAGCAGTGATCGGGCCAAGCATCAGAGAACGCATTATGACAGAGTATGATAGCTTTCTTACTTTTCACGCATTAAAAAATCGAAATTGCAATTTAAATTTCTTCTTCAAAATTTCTCATTGCTTTTTATATTTATTTATTATATATTATTTTATTTAATTGTTGATTTAATATGA